CTGTAAGTTGCTATATCTTTCATGTTTCGTCTCCATCAAAGATATCTATTGTGAATGCTACTTCGTGAATAAATTATAAAAACGTTTAAGTTTTTTTTGTATAAAAAGCATAGCTGAATTTCACAATTTATCCAAGACATAAACATCTAGGATGGAACACTACAAGTTCACATCTCTCATAAAACCGGAGATATTTGTTATAAAACTGATCGGATTTTGGAATAGCGCAAGAAATGATTCAATAGATGGTCAACTGTGGTATAAAATATACAGGTATGTGAATCGAGTTCGGAAGATCTGTGATTTTGTTAGGTGAACATTGTCATTAAATTTATCGTCTTTATAGTATACATGGTGTTTCAGTTTATTGTTGCATAACTTTAAGATTCGATAGAACTTTTAAAATTAATGCATAAAGTCTATATAAACATGGGTCGAAAAATGCGTGGCTTATACGACAAAACGAACCATGGGCATAGTTTTACTGTAGTTTTACTGTAGCCGCTACTGTACCTGTAGTGTATTAAAATGACCGAAAATTTTTTCTTAGTGAAATTTTTTTCTTTTTGAATAAAAAACTGATTCTTCGCACTTTTCTGCATAAAAAAGCTCTCCTGTGAGTTTTAGTTATAGTTGGCCGTTTTTGAGATATTTCGATTTTTAAGGTTCGATGCATTTTTAATTATTTATGGGAAAATAATATTTTTTTTACATTTTCGATTTGGGCATTACAAGTAATTAAGATGATCGTTTAGATTGTGTTTTTAAACACAGCAATAATTCCTAACTCCAAATAAACACAAAAAAACAGAATATTAATTTATTTAATTTTCCAATATTATTTTTAACAAGTTAAATTAATTATTTACAACTAAAATGCTATTGGATAGTTAGGACAAACATACAAAATCTAAAGTAGTTGCTCGAAATGTAAAACCCAATTGTTCAATACACAATTCACATCTACGAATGATCGAACGTGGTATAGCATTATTTAAATAAGGCCTTATTTCATCACATGCATTCCTGATTCTGTCTATTAGCATATCTCTTGTGGTTACGGGAGTCTGGTACACTTTTTCTTTTAGAAATCCCCACACTAAGAAATCTAATGGATTTAGGCCAGGGGATCGTGGAGGCCAGGCGACTGGTCCTCCACGGCCGATCCATCTTTCTGGATAATTTTCGTCCAGCCAGTTTCTAACTATTCTCGAATAATGAGCTGGACAACCATCAAGCTGGAACCAGGCCAATCTTCTTAAATCTAACATAACATCATCCCACATATTTGCATGTTCAGCCTTTAAAAATTCCAAGAAGGCCGCAGCATTTAACCTTGCAAGCAAAAGGTAGGGTCCAAATAGTCGATTACGGTAGATACCAATCCACCCGTTCACACTAAATTCATGCTGAAAATTTCTTTCCCGAACTTCATGCGGATTTTCATGCGACCAAATATGTTGATTATGAAAATTTACCACTCCACGTCTAGTGAAGCATGACTCATCGGTCCATAAAACGTTACTTAAAAACTCCCTATTATTATCAGTTCTATCAAGAATCCACTGACAAAATGTGATTCTTCGTTCTCCGTCCCCTGGCTGTAGTCCTTGCACAGGTTGCAAATGGTAAGGACGTCTATGGTCTTTTCTAAGAACATGGTGAACATGGCTTGCTGAAATTCCCAAGGCACCAGAAACTCTCCTAACACTTGTGGTCGGATCTCTATCAAACTCACGCAGAATCATACGGGTAAATCTGCGCTGACGAACATTAATGTTTTGATCCCTTTGGAGATTTCCAAAACCATTTTCAATTATTTGGCGATGCACTCTTACAAATACCGAGCGAGTTGGATGTCGTCTGTTTGGAAATGTTCGTGCGTATTCTCTGGCGGCTTCTGCTGCGTTTCCATTTACAAAGCCATACACAAAATGAATATCCGCTAACTCTTGATTGGAGAATAAAAATGGCATTTTTATAAAACTTACAAAAAAAAACAGGTAAAAGAAACTAAATTGCGTGCATTCACAATTGCAAAAAAACGTTTCAGGTTTCAACAGACAACAAAACTAACTGTCAACTAATTGACGTTTAACCTTATTCTGCTTTCAATTTAAAAAATATTTGCAGGCACAGCCTACTTCTAAAAATTATCGAGATACTGACTTTTTAACGTTATTTTATCATAAATAATTAAAAATGCATCGAACCTTAAAAATCGAGATATCTCAAAGACGGCTAACTATAACGAAAATTCACAAGAAAGCTTTTTTATGTTGAAAAGTGCGAATAATCAGTTTTTTTATTCAAAAAGCAAAGAATTGCACTAAGAAAAATTATTCGGTCATTTTAATACACTACAGGTACAGTAGAGAGCGCCCTCAAGCGGCTACAGTAAAACTATGCCCATGGTTCGTTTTGTCGTACCAAAAAACCCTTGTATACCAATTTTCAACATCAAATATTGTTCGAAATATTTTAAAAAAACTATTTTAGAAAGTAAAATTAAACACCCTGTATTTCGGAAGCCACGCATTTTTCGACCCATGTTTATATAGACTTTATGCATTAATTTTAAAAGTTCTATCGAATCTTAAAGTTATGCAACAATAAACTGAAACACCCTGTATATACAGGGTTATCCAAATTAAATGTCCACCATTAGTAACTTTGTTATTAGTGAAAATACAAAGTTGTTTGAATTAGCAAACTAGTAGCATTTTTAACGCTGGTAAAAATGAGAAATAAAAAAAAAACAATTGAGAGTCGTTATTTTGATTTTTTTCAGTAAAATAACATTTTTTTAAATGGAAACCCCTGTATATTACATACTCGCAACTAGAAGGCTTTGGAAAACAATGATAAAATCAAATAATGTCAAACATTAGTGTAAATACTTGTTTATAAGCTTTATTGTGTCATTAATTTAAAGAAAAATGTTCTCCCATGAAGAAAAGTGTGATATGTTAGAATGCTATTTAGTGTGCAGAAAATCCTCCTTGAGAGCAAGAGAATACTACAGTGAATTATATCCCGCTCGCATTCAACCGTATGAACGATATTTTCTGAGACTTTATCGAAAATTTAGGGGCAACGAAAATGTTTTTGCTAAAACAAGGGCAAAAAAAGAATTCATAATAAGCGAGGCCACGGAAATTGCAGTTATTGGATATTTTGAAGCTTATCGTGAGAATTCAATAGCAGATATTCTCAAGGACTCTAATTTCAGTTATGGTACTGTTCAAAGGATTTTAAAAAAATACAAATTTATTCCGTATAAGTACCGACCAGTTCAAACGCTTTTGGCAGGGGATCCAGAGAGAAGACTTGTTTTTTGCCATTGGTATCTTAGCTTCTGTCGCCAAAATGTAAATAACTTTCGTTACCTTTTATGGACTGATGAATCAAATTTTTCAAATTCTGGAATGTTTAATAGAAAAAACCACCACTATTGGTCAAGAGAAAATCTTTTGTTAGTACATCCAAGAGGCCCACAAGTCCGTTTCAGTTTCAACGTTTGGTGCGGTATAATTGGTTCAAAAATTGATGGCCCGTTCTTTTATGAGGGAACCCTAACTGGTGAAAGATATGTGGAATTTATGTCAGAAATTCTGACTAATTTCTTAGACGAATTGGATCTTATAAGTAGACATCATCTGCATTTTCAGCAAGATGGCGCACCTGCCCACAACTCCAGAGGTACTTATCATTTTCTAAGTACTACTTTTAATGATCAGTGGATAGGAACAAATGGCCCAATACAGTGGCCTCCCAGATCACCAGATCTAAACCCACTTGATTACTTCTTGTGGGGTTACTTAAAGAACCAAATTTACAAGCGAAGGTACGATAACCTTGACGCGTTAAAGACTGCAGTTAGGGAAAAGATAACCCAGATAGATGGCAGGACCATACTTAAGACAGTTCGAGCAGTTGAAAAACGTGCCCAAAAATGTATTGAAGAACAAGGTGGTGTTTTCGAGCATCTTCTTTAAAAAAAATTGTTATTGTATTTTGTAAGATTATAAGTTGATGTTGAAAATAAAGTTTGTCGATACAATTTAATTGTTTCACTTTGGAGGCCATAACTTCAACAATTTGTAACCTAGGAGAAAAGTTATTGTAAGCTTTTTTGTTTAAAATTTGATGCTTTAACAGAAAAAAATATAATATACAGGGGTTTCCATTTAAAAAAATGTTATTTTACTGAAAAAAATCAAAATAACGACTCTCAATTGTTTTTTTTATTTCTCATTTTTACCAGCGTTAAAAATGCTACTAGTTTGCTAATTCAAACAACTTTGTATTTTCACTAATAACAAAGTTACTAATGGTGGACACTTAATTTGGATAACCCTGTATAGGTAAAATCTCCTTCACCATTTCACGAATTTTGTTTCTGTGTGTGGTCATTCACCATAATTATAAAACGAGTCATATCGTCGATTTGGTGGTGGACAGTCGTAACCCACAAAAAGGGAAAAATTCAGAACACGTTCGCTGCTCATCATTTTTTTAAAGAACACCGGTGGTACTGACACTGACAAAACTACTGTTTGTAAATGTTTTTGTTATTACGTGTTACTGCTTCAATATAATTCTTGTTTATGTAGTTTATTCAAAGTTTCTTGCAAAAAAAAAACATGACGCACTTGTGGCGGCTTGAGCACTCGGCCAGTGCTCACCGATGCCTATTTGGCGTCGCTAAGGACTGTTTATCAAATCTTTTTATTAAGTTTTAATGATATTATTATAAAATCGTCACAAAAAGAAACAACAAACGAAACATTATCCCTATGCAACTACAAAAGTTACAATACATAAACGTAATAAAATAAAAAAATATAGGTCCATTGTTCAACTAGAATAATAAAAAAACATGTTTGAAAACTAACATACACATATTTCATAAAAAGGGAACTAAGTATTAACAAATACATTATTCAAAATATGTATCTGATTTTACAGATTATTATGATATTCCTTAAAGCAAGGATCTAAACACAGTCCGGGTAGTTCCGGGCAACTCTTACAACAAAAGCTAGTATCTTTACGTTTTGAACACCATCGACATTTTTTGCGCAGTCTTCTATCACCTGTGCCTTTGTATAGTTTGGATGGACCATGTTGAAGCCCTGCGTTTTCTGTGGACCTGGCTTCTCTTTGGCTTTAATTTCTGGGACCATTGCATGAACTACTGATTCACGGTACTCTAGGAACGACATCTTTAGTTTAGAATATTTTTCGTATAACATATAGGAATTATATAACATGGTCTCTACGAGCCCCTTCCCACTTCAGTTGGCCCACTTCAAGATTTGTACCAAAATATGCCTTTATAAATTAAACATGACGAAACTATTTACTTCTAAAACAATTTATTTTCTCAAAAACATTTTAGATACACTCTAGTCGTAAAAAATACATCTTTGAAATCACTTAGACCTACAACTAATAGAACATCTGAACAAATAAACAATGTACGAATAAATGCGCGAAGTTAACAAAGCAACAATTGAAAGATTACCATTGGGTAACATCACCATTATTTTTTATTACGGCTGAAATTTTTTGGGGCATAGTGTTAACCAAGTTTTGGCAAAAATTTGGTGTAAAACAATCCAATATTTCTTGAAGCTTTTGTCTCAGTTCGGTGATTGTACGCGCAGGATGTTGTCGTAGAACCTTTTTCATCTCGTGCCACAAACTTTCAATAGGTGACAGATCTGGACTGCTAGAAACCCATTTCAAAAGTGGTACATTATTTTCTTCCATCCATTTTATAGCCTTTTTTGAGGTATGGCACGCTGCACCATCTTGCTGAAACACAAAATCTTGGCCGGATGTCAAACATTCTTCCATCACTGGTAAAAGCGATTCTTTTAAAATTGTTAAATATTGGTTTGGATACACATTTCCATCAATAAAATGAAGTTTTCCTACTCCTTTTGATGACATATTGCCCCAGACCAGAATGGATGCTGGAAATTTCACTTTTCTCTTCAGACAGTCAACATAATAATTTATTCGCTTACCCCAATGTATTTTACGATTATAGAGTTGAACTGCTCCACATCATGAATTGAACTCACTGCATTCGTAATTAAAACTGTCGCATATGACCTTTTATTGTCCATTATCAACCTTGATAAAAAAAGGCACTCAAGAACAATCACACTAACAAGAGAAGAGCACAACAATTCAACAACACAATAGGACGAACAGTAACAAATGTAGAACAATACTAAATGATCATTTGCTGAGTACCAAACTAGGAAACGATTTACAGGCTAGATCGCTAATTGAAATCCGATAAAAATTTACCTCAGTATGCACCCGCAGTCATCCTTTCCTCTTTTAAAGTAGCGCCGACGACAGTCTAAGGCCAGCCCACTCTCGTTTCCTTTTCACCCCCCCGTTACCTTAGCAGATGGTGCTTCAACACCCCGAGTTTTTGTAAGGAAACATTTTTGGACCATAGTTTATAGAGCAAACTAACATTAATTTTTCATGTTACCCTTAAATATTGGCATATCATTAAGGAACACCCTGTATATTGAACTTTGTGTATTTTCTTCTTGTTTATATTATAGGTACGTGGTGGTGGCGGGTCTATTCAGCTACGTCTTCTTCGGGTGGGCGTATATAGCCTTTGCATGGGGTAACATCACCATAACTGACGTGACCAATGTTATTTCCATCTACAGCACAGGAATAGCGAATCTGATAACAATTTGCCTTATCATCGCCAACACACCTATTCTGGAGGACATTGTCGACCAGTTACAATCGAATCTGTTCCAGCCGACGAGTAGGGAGCAGTTACGTATTGCTGATTCTGGAAAAAAGTCCGGCAATACGGTCAGGATATGTATTGCAACGTCGTCTATAGTTGCCTGTGTTTTTGGACTCCTCATTCCGCTTTTCTCGGATGACGAGAAACCGATGTTTATAGCGTATGTTCCATCTTGGTTCCCGTACAGGTTAGATTTCTGATATTTAAAATGTGATGTGTAATTTTGCTCCTATAGTCGACTGTAACGTATGTCCTAGAAGTCTTGGCACAAAATATTCATCGGATTTTTTTAATGAATAAATTTATTTAAACACTAACTAGTTATCACGAATTACAACTCAATTCTTATCTAAGTTATACTATCGAATTTTGTGGAGTGACCCATTCTGCTCTACCAGACGCAACTTTCTTCCAATGTATCTCATGACGTCCTGGTCGGAATTCAAATCAATTTAGCTCAGTTTTTCGTAAAATTGCCGTCTTAAAAGCCCAAAAATCCTTCGACATGTTAAGAGGATTATCGTTTTCGGGAACAAAAGGTCTGTTGTGTTGTCCAATTTTGGGTATCTCTTGAGTAATGGCAAAAACATGATATGGTGCATGATGTTCGTGAACAAACTGGAGCAATTTGGAATGGCTGACTAATCAAAGCTTCACTCCTCACACTTCCCACAAAAGATTGGGATGCACCCCTGTTAGAAATTGTGCACCAGACAAGGATTTTACCTGCAAATTTTGCTGTATTTGTATCTAAAATTGTCAAGGCATTCCTCTACGTTGTCCGTATTACATCTATCTACCGGCGCTGGTTGCCGGTAAGCAGGAAACCAGCTTCCACTGTGTTTTTGCCCTTAAGTGGGAAGTGCAGCGTCAACCTGAAGTTGTCTCTGGGGCTCATTTTATATTTGGTTTTATATTAAATCATTTATAAAGTCTGCATTAAGAAATGGTGAATTCGCCTACTTTGTTGTTTGACGTGTGATAAAAATGGTGAAGGATCCACCGGATCCTTACGGTGAAAGCGGAACGTGTTAATTCCGTTGCAGCTGCGATTCCTGGCCAAATATTCTCAGTGACTTGATTTTTTGGCAACGAGGTCGTCTTACACCAAGAATGAAACGATAACATTCTCACAACATTTTATTGATAAGTAATAAGAAAAAAAAAGAATAATTGTTGAATACACTGCTGTATACGTCTAGGCATGTTACCACCGAGAGTACAAGGCCTAACAACAGACGCGTGACGTCACCACGAGTAGGCCGTTCGGCCGGCCGACAGCACGGCGTGCCGTACATCAACGCTAGTGAAAATGTAAAACATGATGTAAATAACAAATAACTCAGAAAAGTGTTTTTGGTATATGAAGGCAACTTGGTGGAAAATATTAAAGTAGTTATTTACTATTTTCACCCTGATTTTCACTGATATTTCATCCAACATTACGTGCACATTAGATTAATAAGTTAATGTTATAAAAGCTTGCTAAAAATGATAAATTCTTCAATGAATAACCACATGTTAGTCACAACCGATCAACAAAATTTCACAGGAATATGTGGACAATTTACTATTATTAGAGGATAATATAATGCTACTTGAAAGTTATATAAAAAATGTAGTGCTTGTAGAACAGTTGTGTCCAGCAAGAACCAACGAGGAGGTCTGAGGTAAGCTCTTGCCAGGAAAGGAATAAGGAAGATGAGGAGCAAAAAGTGTAGGATAAATGATCAGCAAAACAGATAATATCAAAGTAAAATAAACAACAGTAAAAACATAACAAAGATCAACGAAAACTTAATAAAAACTCTTAGAGCAAACAAATAACAGCACAAAATAATAAAAAAAATTAGAAAACAGAAAACAAGTATCAAAAATAACAAAAATTAGAATAACGAAAATTAAAGTGCTAAATTCTGAAAATGTACAAATAAACAGTTATCTACAGCTATGTAAATGTTGCGGCCTCATGTGAATGTAGTTAATTTACGGATGCGGATAAACAATGCTTGTTTTATTATCTGGAGAAAAATGTGCCATCGCTGTACTATTCAGTGCATTATTATCACTTACAACACAAAAAATTTTATAACCAAGTTCTTCTAATCCAATAATAAGCTTTTTTGTCATATTGTATAATATACTAAGTGACATATAAATCCGAACACCCAGTTTTAATGGTTTTATTTTAATAAAAGTTGGTGAATGTATTTATCTTACTGTAAATAACAAGTGAAAAAATTTTCAGCCTTATCAGTTGGATATTCCGGTTTTTATACTGCTTTTTTTTAATTCACTAACGCTCTAAAAATGAATATTTCAGCCGCAGTAAAGGATCAACGTTGGCGGATTTTGGTTCTTGACATCCTTTACGATCGGTTACGATGCCTAGAGTACGGAGACCTGTACGATTTCGTCAACTTAGTGAGTTTGATAGGGGCCGTATAGTGGGACTTCGGGAAGCTGGACTTTCTTTTCGGGCAATTGCAGTTAGAGTGCAAAGAAGTGTAGACACTGTGGTTAGGTGTTGTCAGGCATGGCTTCGAGAAGGCCGTACGCAAAGAGCAAGGGGCACTGGACGCCGCCGTAGAACAACAGACCGTGAAGATCGCCGCCTAAGATTATTGGCCTTAAGGGACCGTTTCTCCACTACCAGGTCCATTGCAAATGAATGGTTTGCAGAACACGGAAGACCTATTGGCATGCGAAGTGTTTACCGACGAATGAGAAGTTTTGGCTTGTTTTCATACCGGCCACACTGGGTCCTCCCTTTAACTCGAGAACACCGACGTAATCGCCTTGAGTGGTGCAGACAACGGTCACTCTGGGATTAGGAATGGAACAGTATTGTCTTTAGTGACGAGTCTCGATTTTGTTTAGGCATGCACGATGGTCGTGCCAGGGTTAGAAGGCGACGTGGTGAAAGAAGGGATCCACAGTTTTTTGTTGAAAGACATGTTCATCACACTGTTGGAGTTATGATTTGGGGTGCTATAGCTTATGGTTCCAGGTCACCTTTAATCTTCATCAGAGCTAACATGAACGCGCAGCGTTATATCCACGAAGTTCTAGAACCCCATCTTTTACCCTATCTTGACACCCTGGCAGATCCAACTTTCCAACAAGATAATGTCCGACCACATGTTGCAAGAGTCACAATAGACTTCTTTCAACATAATGATGTCACATTGTTACCATGGCCACCAAGGTCTCCCGACTTATCCCCAATTGAGCACGTGTGGGATATGATGGGTAGGAGATTGCTCAATTTGCAACGTCCTCCTCAGACTCTAGAAGCACTTCGAGAGGAGTTGGTCGTTGCCTGGAATGAGATACCACAGGAGAACATTGACCACCTGATCAGAAGCATTCCTAGGCGCGTTGGAGAATGCGTAGCACATCAGGGTGCATCCACACATTATTAAAGGTCAAAGGGCTTCAAAGCAGTGCAATCATTTTGAAATTTTTATCATTTACTTATTATGCTTCATTAAGAACTTGTACAAAATTTTATTAAAATAAAACCATTTAAACTGGTGTTCGGATTTATATGTCACTTAGTATATTTGTTGTTTGCTTGGGTATGCTTTTGTTTTTAATATATTTGTGTATTTTGAACATATAACTTTATTTGGGATTTTGTAAAAAAAAATTCCGCATTTTCTAGTCCTAAAGAAGATATAAAAAATGTCGAAACCCCGGCTTTAAGGGTAAAGAGCATCATATCCCCTACTGAGATAAGAACTAACTTTTGTTGTATTTGTATAGCAGGACAGCTACAAAAAGAAGCTTATATATGTAATACCGCTCTGATTTCGTCGTTATTAACATTTTCCATCATCCCTTTGTAGGTATTTTATAATTTACCAAGGGATATTTCTGATGTACTTTGGATGTGTGTGCTTCCTTAACGTGTCGCTGAACTCGAATTTACTCATCGAAGTAGCTATTCAAGTAGATATTTTGCGACAGAAGACGATAACCTCTGAAGGTTCTAGAGCCGTTATTAATTGCATCAGACATTATGGCGAAGTTATTCTGTAAGTAGCCTTATACTATCAATATCAGACTGTAAATTTTCAATTTCCCGGAAAAAGTGGTAATCATGAAAATTATGTGGAATTTCATCTATTTTTAAATCATCGTTTTCACGGAATTTATTTATTTGTATAACACCATAGCGAGACTTCAATGACATCAGGCTTTGAGTTCGTAACTTTTTCTCAGATTGATATAACTGACGAATTGATATATTATATTGACCCCCTGCCAGTTGACGATACTTACCAAATCTATTTTCTAATGAGTCAGTTTGAAATATACCTAACAATATATAATTACTGTGCAGTTCAGATTTACAGTACCATACTAATTCCGATCATCCATATACTGTAGGATGTAGTGCAGTGTAAGTCTGACTACAGTATATTCAGATAAGAGATAGACCGGACATAAACAAGACCATGTGATCATCGAACGCTGTAACATTCGGCAGGGACGTATTAAGAGTCACGCAGTACATATTTTAGATAGTAGATGCTGCTATGCGTAACTTTGTAGTAAATTAGCACAATTCGATGTGTATACGATTGGTGATGGATATAGGATCATGTGGGGGTGGGGTAAGAAATATATAATGATGTAAATATACATAAGGGTTTCAAAATTTTTGGTGAAATACAGTCGAATATAATCTCCATCCACGCATTTTATCGAAAGTTATAAAAGTTTTGTTACTTGTTTTATCTGCCCCCTGGAATTAATGTTTAGAACCTTGTTCCCAAGGTTTGAAAAACATCCGATTGTTGTCTATTACTCGTATTTACCTGCTGGATTTTTTAATCCGGTGGACAGTCCATCTAGAAAGGCCCTCCTGGATGAAGTTACAGAAATCATCAACCCATACTTTACTTGTAGTGTGTCCTGCGTTTACCCACGTTTCATCAAGGTAATAAATCTTCCTGTTTTGATTTCTATTTTTCCCAATTTTTGTTAAATAATCCCTCCTCCATAGCACAATTTCTTCTCTATCCAGTAGTAAACTATTACGACCCCGTTTTTTCCATTTCAAATTTAAATGCTTCAGTAACGCATGGAAAGTTGATCGTTTGAAATTTGGCAACGTTGTATCTCCATTTACCTCCTGCAGTACTTTATCTATAGTTGGTATTTCATTCCTAAAGAAGAATTCATGCACTTTCCTCCTAATCGCATGCTTATCAGCTTCATCCAATGATTTAACAATACTTTTGCGATGTTTACTGGTCATTGGCTCAGAAAAGGTGTGATTTTTTTTGTATTGTCTTAACACATTAAACACTGATGCGCGACACACCCCAACTTTGTGAGAAACCTTCACAACAATTTCTTTGATGGTTGATGCCTCGTTCTCCACGCGCTCGATCTTATATATATTCAAAATGACCTCTTTCATTTCTGCACCCAGGTGTCTTTTTTTAGAGCGTTTCCTAGGTGGACTACAGGAGTTTACAACTTCATCGGCAGTATCTGTACTACAGGGCATTTTGCGCAAGCAGTTGATAACAATAACAAGGTATAACAATAACAACGACAAACTCAACAACTTAATAAGATAACAAACGAAAACGTCCAAAGAAATATCAAATTGCAATGATGCACACGACATACGTAACACGTCTGAACCTGAATGTGACTCTGCCTTGATACGACTGCTCTGCCGCTCGGCATAGGCATTTAATTGCGAATTGACCAATGAGGGCTCCTGTTTTACGTCGAGACGGCGGCGTTAGCGTGAAAATCACCCGAACCTTTTGTTTACATCCGGTCTATCTCTTATCTGAATATACTGTAGTTAGTCTTTTTGAAAATTTTGCTGGATCATTCCACTCTTCTAGCCAATCTAGCATTTTCTTCAAGAATGTTAGCTTACTGTCATCACCTTGTCCATCACTGTTGGAGCGAACATTAGGCTCTGCATAAAGGTCATTTAACCGCTTTTCTTTCAATGGACTTTTTACATTGACAATTCTTCATATAATATCAATGAATATCAAAAATTACAGAGTGAGTTATGATGGGTGCTGGTTTATATTCTAACTTAAACAAAGTAACTTTATCCAATACCATTTTATGCCACTTTTGATAGGAAGAATAATCACCAATGCTAGTTTGCAGTGCTTTAAGTAGTTGTTCTTGTTCCTTGTCCCTCAATTTCTCATCTCGGCTTCTTCTGCTTGATATGTCGTATGAAAGGTATTTTGGACAATTTGCAAAGTTACTTGGAATTACATCTGCCTTTAGTTTTGGATAATTAAGGGGTACAGTAATGGTCCTGCCTGTCTTTTCGTCATGGAAGGTGGATTCCCAAGTGATGCTGTCGTCAGCAAAGTGCAAATTGCATACTCGGATGTTTTTTGTAACCACTAAATCACTACGAGGGAATGCATTGAGCCATCTTTTACGACAGTTTTCATTCGATGGAAACGAAAATACGTGCATGGTATATCTGAAGTCACTTGAAATAGCATAAAAACCTTTGGTCGGCGCGTCCTTTGTAATTTCATGACGTATCATAGGCGTGCGGTGATTTATTTAGAACGATAATAATAATGTTTTTATATCACAATAAATGGATTTTACTATCTTCTAATTTTTTTTATTTGGGATAAAAAATACTTATATTGGGAGTTTTATTTATGTTGACTGAAAGTTAAGAAATGGAAACATTACAGAATTCCAATGTTTGACATAGGCAAATATTTACATAGCAGGTAGGTATATAAAAAGGTATATAAAGACTTACATTATAGGTATTTATATAACATCCTTGCCTTCGGAGCTGTCGCTAGAGTCATCTTGTAGAGGAATTACAACGGGATTTACAGGAGGCAAAACACAATATTCATTTTCTTTTTCAATAATATGCCTAGAACACTGCTTCCATAGGTCTGTGGCAGCAATATGAGATACTGCATCTCTTATTGTGGCCAATAGCGATTCACTTAATTGAGGTGTCTGATTATGTTTTCTTACTTTTTTTTTTAAAGCAGCCCAGACCAACTCAATCGGGTTAAAAATGCAGTAATAGGGAGGTAGACGTAATACTTCATGGCCATTTTGCTGAAGCAGATTGTCAACAACATACTCTTTTTAAAATTTTTGTCTTTTAATAAGATCCAATAATATGGCTTTGGTTGATTTTTGTGGTATTTCCATTCCATTATCCTTCATAAAATCAATAATGTCTTGTTTTTTTGTGCCTGTATTCGGAATTTTGTTTTTCTGTCAGGAATGGTATGGCGCATTGTCCATAATAATCACTGAATTTGGGGAAATGTTTGGTATTAACTGCTGCTCTATCCACTTTTCAAATAAGTCGGAGGTCATGTCCTCATGATAGTCGGCACATGATTCTTTGATATTTTTGGCAGATAACAGCAAGGCATTAGGTATAAATCCATTTTCACTGCCAGCATGGAGAATAATGATTCGTTTTCCACGGTTGCATGGTGCATTTAAAATGCACTTGTTGCTGTCGTCAACCCAGCCGTACTGCACAACATCATGGGCATCATACCACGTTTCATCCAGGTAAATCAGATTTCTTTTCTGCTCTCTATAGATTTTAACTTTGTGCAAAAATTCTTGGCGCAATTCAACGATTCGAGACGACTCCATAATCACCATTCTTTTATCTAATTTTTTGTATTGAAAGCCACACAGTTTTACAATTCAGTGCAGTGAGTCTAAGCATTTGTAATTATAAAAATCTTCAGGATAATCTTTTAATTTATCCCGTATCATTTCCAACGTGGGCACCAAATTTTCTTTATAAAATCCGTATATTATACGACGAATATCTTCCTGAAAACCCACGTCTATTCTTTTTAATTTTTGCCCTATGCGCTTTCTGTGGAAGGAATGGTTGACTACATCTCCCCTTTTTATAACCCGATAAATGGTAGATCGACTGATTTTTGTCAGGATACAAATTCTGTTTAAAATTTGATTTTGAGAGGAATCTGGATTTTCGTTTTTCAAACAATCATACATATTTAGGATTACTCTTTGGGTCTGTTCTTCTAAGTCTTTATGAAAGAATTCTGCCTGCACAGGTTCATCAACCATCTCCTCGTGGCTTGGAGCATTTTCCCAAGGTCTCCAAAGAGCCATATTTAGGACACACAAGAACAATCAACACAACAATTAAATCAACAAGTAAACTGAGTATTCAAAAGTCAAAAACACACAAACTAATAAAATCTATGAAAAAACACGGACAGACTAAAGAAAACACGTTTATTCACCGCTACACGGCACTGGCTAAACTGTTTCAATTTTCAGTAGCCACCTGCACTTTTTTGGAGCTCTGAAATACACGCTTTCTCATTGGCTATGTCCACGCATAGGCGTGCTTTACTCCACGTGGACCGGTGAAACTTCCTTTGATCTGATACGGGGGATATTTGCTGCGAAATTTGGCGTTTTTTGCAGCAACAGAGCGTGTTAAATATAGATATATAAAACGCACCCGGTATTTCACAGTGTTTCAAGTGACTTCAGATAAACTATACCTTCGGACCTTTCCCATAATTATCGGCACAATTAGGAACGCAGCACTTGTAAGGCATTTTGAAAACTTAGCTAAACAATCGCGAGCCACAAATATAAGTTTAAAACATCAATAATTTTCAGTTTACGTAGCATAGAAAGACATAGAATAGAGGTTCAGAATGTGAGGTTAGTTGGCTGTTGGACAGCTGTTGGATGTTAGCGGTGTTGCCAACGTTGCCACATATTCCAATTTTGAATGGAATATTAGACTTCACAAGTGACAGATTGATCGTAATATCGAAAATGTATTCTTGGCGTACTGAGGCAGATCAGAAAGAATAATCACATCATCACTGAAGCTGCGCAGGCCCCGAGTACATCTTGCAAATTCGCCCACAGAGAGGTACAACTAATTAGTAGAGATTTCGATACTGCTATATCAAATCTAGATATGACAACACCGCAGAGAAATGGTGAAAGTCGCCGACAATACAGTCATGCAATATTGCAGGTTAATACCCAAAATGACGACTTTTACCGACAACTGATAATGATCGATGAAGCCGACTTCGATATGAGCATATGTGTAGTATGTGTAGTAAGCAGAATTGTCGTATATGGGCAGTAGAGAACCCTCGTGTTATCCATCAACGACCACTACATCCTCGAGTCACTGCAGGCCATTCTCTTACTGACAACGGCCACCGCTACCGTGATATGGTGCCAAAGTTGACACGTAGCTAGGGAATGAATTTTTTGCGAACAATATTTCCTGGACGTTTAATTTCTCGATTTGGTGATGTCAACTGGCCACCAAGGTCACCGGATTTAACAGCTCCCGACTTTAGAGCAGCTGAAGAACAATATTACGGAAGCGATTGGAAATGTTCCTCCCAAAACCTACCAAAAATGTGATGGAAAATGGAATCAAGAGAGCTTAGGTTTGCGCGGCTTTTAGAGACGGACATTTGTCTATTATTTTTTATAAATAATTTCTAAGCTTCAATAAAAGATTAAGTTAAAAAAAATTGATGTATTTTATTTCGCTTCATAAATATTCAAGATACAAACCAGTCAGTTGCATATCGGCCACCTTGTATTTGTACATATAATGTTTTTTCTCAATTATGCTTATGAGTACTTAGCCTGGACGAGAAAAAATAACATACTTTACGAATAGTCTGTGGATTACATAAAGATAATCCAAAATTGAACACCGCCTGCAGTTTCTGTTCTGAATCAAATCTACAGTATATTCAGATAAGAGATAGACCGGACATAAACAAGACCACGAACCACCCATCGAACGCTGTAACATTCGGCAGGGACGTATTAAGAGTCACGCAGTACATATTTTAGATAGTAGATGCTGCTTTGCGTAACTTTGTAGTAAATTAGCACAATTCGATGTGTATACGATTGGTGATGGATATAGGATCATGTGGGAGTGGGGTAAGAAATATATAATGATGTAAATATACATAAGGGTTTCAAAATTTTCGCTTCGATTTCCAGCTTCGGATGCCGTCTGATGTTTGGTGAAATACAGTCGAATATAATCTCAAAATGGCGTTTAAATTAGCCTAAATTAAAAATAATCGTATATCTCTTAAAATTGCTTTTAGAATATTAATTAGTATATTTTTGATTTCTAGGTAAATATGTAACCAAATTAAAACGTTCAAAACGTAAAAAAATGTGCATGGTTGAACATTGTCAGAAAGTAGATTCTTGAATAGGTTTTGCCAAAATGGGTTCAAAAATGTCAATAATTAATTAAAAAATACAGTAGCTTTATAATTACTTACAACTTACCGAATTTGATGAACGATATCTTTTATTGGAAAGATGAGCTTGATGAGCTTTCATCATCGCTACTGCCTGAAGCACTAACGTCAATAATGAATGGCTCGACTTGTTCCTCTAAAATATTGTCCAGTTCCCACATTCTCTTTTCAACTTTGTCTTTGAAAAGTCCTTTGAGGTCACAAAATTTAAAAGTTGTATTGTGCTTAGCTATATAATTTTTAACCTCTGCCCATATGAGCTCAATGGGATTGAGCTCGCAATGGTATGGAGGTAAACGGAGCACAGTTTTATTTTGACTTGCTGCCATTTCGTCAATGGCGTATTTTTGAAATTCCGCCTTGTGATCCTTGACAATTCTTAATAATTGTACTTTCGGCATTGCTTCTTCAAAGTTGATATTTTTCGAGCGGAGCCAATTTTGAACATCAACTTTCCTTGAAGCCGTTGTTGGGACCTTCTCCATTCTTCGAGAATGATAAGGCGCATTATCCAACACAATTACTGCGTTTTATTCTAAGTTCGGTAACATTTTTGAAAACCACTGTTCAATCGATTCGCCATTCACTTCCTCTTGGTAATCTCCAGTTTTCTTAGACTCAAAGCACCACAGACCGTCAACAACAAATCCATCCTCACTGCCAATATGGCAGATAATGAGCCTTTTCCCTTTACCTGGAAATCGAAGTACTAACTGGTGTAGATTTATTTCAATAAGCGAACCTTTTTCAAATGTTTTCATCACATTCAGCGAAAAAACATTGAGACATGAGTATCAGATTGCTATAATTGGGATTATTTAGTCATATTGAAAGAAAGAATATTGAACGTCGTATGATTACTCAGCGCTTCACAATTTAATTTAAAGTTATAAACCTCTAAAAAATGAATGATCAGGAACCTGAAATACGCGCAAATATTAATATTAACAAATTATAACTTTTTAAAGCTTAAAGTATGAATTAAAATGATTAGAAATATTAGGAACGGTACACAATATAAAACTTAGTAACTTTTTTTAAGTTTATAATATTCGACATATTTTAAGATTATATTAAAAATTATTGAAATATCGAAAACACATAAAAACATGGCTTAAAAAAGTTCTAACAAATGAAAATGACAATAAAACATCTACGCATTTTATCGAAAGTTATAAAAGTTTTGTTACTTGTAATATGTTTTATCTGCCCCCTGGAATTAATGTTTAGAACCTTGTTCCCAAGGTTTGAAAAACATCCGATTGTTGTCTATTACTCGTATTTACCTGCTGGTTTTTTTAATCCGGTGGACAGTCCATCTAGAAAGGCCCTCCTGGATGAAGTTACAGAATCATCAACCCATACTTTACTTGTAGTGTGTCCTGCGTTTACCCATGTTTCATCAAGGTAATAAATCTTGTTTTGATTTCTATATTTCCCAACTTTTGTTAAATAATCCCTCCTCCATAGCACAATTTCTTCTCTATCCAGTAGTAAACTATTACGACCCCGTTTTTTCCATTTGAAATTTAAATGCTTCAGTAACGCATGGAAAGTTGATCGTTTGAAATTTGGCAACGTTGCATCTCCAGTTACCTCCTGCAGTACTTTATCTATAGTAGGTATTTCAATCCTAAAGAAGAACTCGTGCACTTTCCTCCTAATCGCATGCTTATCAGCTTCATCCAATGATTTAACAATACTTTTGCGATGTTTACTGGTCATTGGCTCAGAAAAGGTGTGATTTTTTTTGTATTGTCTTAACACATTAAACACTGATGCGAGACACACCCCAACTTTGTGAGAAACCTTCACAACAATTTCTTTGATGGTTGATGCCTCGCTCTCCTCGCGCTCGATCTTATATATATTCAAAATGACCTCTTTCATTTCTGCACTCAGGTGTCGTTTTTTAGAGCGTTTCCTAGGTGGACTACAGGAGTTTACAACTTCATCGGCAGTATCTGTACTACTGGGCATTTTGCGCAAGCAGTTGATAACAATAACAATCAATAACAAGTTATAACAATAACAACGACAAACTCAACAACTTAATAAGATAACAAACGAAAACGTCCAAAGAAATATCAAATTGCAATGATGCACACGACATACGTAACACGTCTGAACCTGAATGTGATTCTGCCTTGATACGACTGCTCTGCCGCTCGGCATAGGCATTTATTTGCGAATTGACCAATGAGGGCTCCTGTTTTACGTCGAGACGGCGGCGTTAGCGTGAAAATCACCCAAACCTTTTGTTTACATCCGGTCTATCTCTTATCTGAATATACTGTAGCTAACCTATGAAGCTCTAAGACACCTACTAATTAGTACCTTATTCTTTTTATGCATCTTAAAAGACCTATCTTTTTTCAAGCATGGTAAGAAGAGTCCAACATCTCCAACATATTGCGCTAATGGCATATTTCGGCTGTGAAATACTTATACTGTGTACAGGGCTATTTCGGCTAACAGCAGGTGTGAGTATACATAGTTTCTGCAGTGCTGGCCTCAGATAAGAACCACTCCCGGTACTTATACAGGATGTTTCAGGACTATGGGATCAAACTTGTAGGGGTTATTCGGTGTAACAGTAGAAAACATTTGAGTATACGAGCCCCTTCCCACTTCAATTGGCCCACTTCAAGATTTGTACCACAAAATGCCTTTGTAAATTAAACATGACGAAACTATTTACTTCTAAAACAATTTATTTTCTCAAAAACATTTTAGATACACTCTAGTCGTAAAAAATACATAATTTGGCTAAACGCGCCCTACAATTGTAGGGCGCGTTTATGGCCTCCTTGATTGTCATAGTTTTCTGCTTCTCCGTGTCAGCGCTCTATTTTGAGGTTATGTCACAAACATCTATTTGCATCAAATTGTGCTTGGTTTTGAGTTGTATCATGTTTTATCAGCCTGAAATTTCCTACAATTTAAAAAGAAAACAGATCACAATAGGAGAGCGCTGACGCTGACACGGAACAAGTGTATTCTAGAAATTTTTGAAGTAGAGAAAGGAGTATGACAATCAAGGAGGCCATAAATGCGCCCTACAATTGTAGGGACGACTGACGATACGGGCCTTAGACCTATAACTAATAGAACATCTGAACAAATAAACAATGTGCGAATAAATGCGCGAAGTTAACAAAGCAACAATTGAAAGATTACCATTGGGTAACATCACCTTTATTTTTTATTCATACCTGTACGTTGAAAATTCCTTTTCATTGTGCGACGTCTTGGTCCCGACGGTGACCTTTTCCATGTACCTTTTTTTGTTAATCGTACTTGAAAAAGCTCACCATCGAGACCGAAACATCGAACAATAAAGCATCCCACAAACCGGCGCGAAATAATCGCGGCGAAGTCTTCGCAACGAAATTCAGAGCGAAATTCGCAATCTGTTTCGCCTGTTTATTCATACCAAAGCGTCTTATTTGCTCCGCGAACGTGAAGGTTTCGACAGGTTGCGTACATTTTATTTTTGCCTTTTGCAATGAGCTCGTCTTCAGAAGAAGAGGAGGCACTTCTATTTCTTGCTTTAGAAGAGGAACAAAATGCACGGTAAGTTATGTTTATTTAACGCCATTTGATAGTTGGGTATGTATTAAGTTTAACGAAGTACATAAAACAAATATTTTCAATTTTGTTTAGGAAACGAAGGAAGTGGGTACATGATATTAACTTGGAACGAAATAAATTTGGGGAATACCATACCTTGATGCCACAACTTCGGCTGGATGAACAGCGCTTTTACGTATATTTTAGAATGACTCCACAGTGTTTCGATGAAATATTGAACTTGGTGAAAGATGAAATACGAAAATCTGACACAAATTATCGTGAAGCTATTTCCCCAGAAGAACGACTTGCTATTACACTCAGGTAAAAAATTATATGTATTAAAATTAGTAGGCTTATCGAATACGAAAACTTCAGGGATCGTGAAATAAATATTTTATTGTAATAATTGGACTACATGTTGCCACTAGGATTAAATGTTGCTAAATAATTCGAGGCAGAATTTGCCTCCTCTGTTGAGTATATTATTGGAGTAAACCCAGTGCCGCTTGGGAAGGGCGACATACTACTATCATACATACTTGCAGAATTCTGGGTAGACGCTGAAGACATTTCTTCAATATGTTCAAATTCTTCGTGCGCTATTAATTCGGCTATTTTTAGTTTTATTCGGGCTTGACGCTTTAAGGGAAGTGTTTTCACAGTCTGTGCATGTGCCAAGAAAAGTGAATCAATGGCCTCGTTCTCTTTTTTAGGTTTTTTATCTTAAAAATAATTAATGAGCTGTTGTACAGACGAAGATGGTGGTTCATAGCGTTTTCTGCTCGTTTTATATTTTGGTGTAGTTGCAGTCTGCGGAAAGGTGTGCCCTGGAGTAGTCACTGCTGTAGTGTTCAATGCAGAAGGTGGTGCTGTCTGTGTTGCCGAGGCGTTCTGTGCATCTTCTGCATCTACATCAGCATTTTCATCTTCTCCATGGCCGCGGTCTTCCAAATTTTCGGTTTCTACATTTCCAGCCCTTTCCTGATATATATTTGAGTTAAATTCGGCAGTCTCAAAATGTATGACGTCAATATCTTTCACATTAGACGACGTTTTGGCAAATGCCAAAAAAGGACGGAAAAATTCCATCTAGTCAGCCCACTGCCATTTTTTTATGTTGCCCACTGCTTGGCCGGTCTTTGGTTTGGTAGATTTTATATATTTTGCAAATGTGTCTCTGATATTCTTCCACCTTTTTTTTACTTCATCATTTAATAACGATTTTTTTATAGATTCCTTGCCACTGGTGACACCTTCTATACCATTGGGCATAGCTTTCGACTTGGCTTTACAACAGTGAGTGCAATCGTAACCGAAGTCTGTGAAGCGATATGCAGACATATGGAGCATATATATGTATTTACCAGAACCAACAGAGAATATATGGAAAAAATGTGCTGAAGAATTTGAAAATAGATGGAGATTTCCCAATTGCATTGGCAGCGTGGACGGTAAACATGTAACAATCAAGAGACCTAACAACAGTGGCTCCAATTACTGGTGCTATTTACATAAATATTCAATAGTACTTATGGCCATTGTTGGCCCGGACTATAAATTTATATGTGTTGATATTGGTGGTTTCGGAAAAAATAGTGATGGGGGTATTTTCGAAACCTCAAACATGGGAAAACGATTTGAACAAATTTAATGAGTGTCCCTGCACCTAGATTTCTCCCTGGGCAAAATGAAATCTGCTCGTACGTTTTAATTGGTGATGAAGCATTTGCTTTAAAACCATACCTTATGAGAGCATTTCCTTATAAGCAGACTTTAACAGACGTCAGAAAAGAGAAATACAATGTAAGACTTTGTCGAGCTAGAAGGGTCGTGGAAAATGCGTTTGGTATTTTGTCTCAAAAATGGCGAATATTTTACAGGCCATTAGAAACTAAAGTAGATACTACTATTCTAATTGTACGTACGGCATGTGTTTTACACAATTTTTTACGAAGTAAAAGTGGCGATGACAAATATTTTCAATTCTTAGATCCCCCAGAACCCGTGCTTGGAGCTTTTACTGATATAGCAAATGATCCTCGGCGGGCAGCAAGGCTAGCATTTTCTACTCGTGACAAATTCGTAAATTATTTTAATTCTGATATGCCTATGCCCAATATATAGAATGTTCGTTTTCACATTTGTGTAGACTGTAAAGCATTTAACAAGTTAATAAAAAATATTAGGTACATACCATTTGTATTTAATTCTTTTCCTATTTCCATCCAAATCTTGTCTTTCTTTCTCACATTCCTGTATTCATCGTTCGACAAATCATACAAACAAGGATACTTTTTCACTATTTCTATCAATAATTCCGTTTTTGCCATTGCGAATTTTTGAAGAACGGCGTCAAAAACGCGGTCAAAGGCGAACTGAAATACGCCGCGATAAAAACGCTGGAACAATCGCATTCGCTTCGCACAAGTCTGAGCCTGTCCGTAAACCGCCGCGTTTTAATCTGATCGCGAATTCATCGCCGCGAAATTTTCGCAGCCAAAGCGAATATTTCGCGCCGGTTTGTGGGATGCTTAATGCGATTGTTCCAGCGTTTTTATCGCGGCGTATTTCAGTTCGCCTTTGACCGCGTTTTTGACGCCGTTCTTCAAAAATTCGCAATGGCAAAAACGGAATTATTGATAGAAATAGTGAAAAAGTATCCTTGTTTGTATGATTTGTCGAACGATGAATACAGGAATGTGAGAAAGAAAGACAAGATTTGGATGGAAATAGGAAAAGAATTAAATACAAATGGTATGTACCTAATATTTTTTATTAACTTGTTAAATAATTTACAGTCTACACAAATGTGAAAACGAACATTCTATATATTGGGCATAGGCATATCAGAATTAAAATAATTTACGAATTTGTCACGAATAGAAAATGCTAGCCTTGCTGCCCGCCGAGGATCATTTGCTATATCAGTAAAAGCTCCAAGCACGGGTTCTGGGGGATCTAAGAATTGAAAATATTTGTCATCGCCACTTTTACTTCGTAAAAAATTGTGTAAAACACATGCCGTACGTACAATTAGAATAGTAGTATCTACTTAGCTTCTAATGGCCTGTAAAATATTCGCCATTTTTGAGACAAAATACCAAACGCATTTTCCACGACCCTTCTAGCTCGACAAAGTCTTACATTGTATTTCTTTTTTCTGACGTCTGTTAAAGTCTGCTTATAAGGAAATGGTCTCATAAGGTATGGTTTTAAAGCAAATGCTTCATCACCAATTAAGACGTACGAGCAGATTTCATTTTGCCCAGGGAGAAATCTAGGTGCAGGGACACTCATTAAATTTTGTTCAAATCGTTTTCCCATGAAACCATCAATATCAACACATATAAATTTATAGTCCGGGCCAACAATGGCCATAAGTACTATTGAATATTTATGTAAATAGCACCAGTAATTGGAGCCACTGTTGTTAGGTCTCTGGATTGTTACATGTTTACTGTCCACGCTGCCAATGCAATTGGGAAATCCCCATCTATTTTCAAATTCTTCAGCACATTTTTTCCATATATTCTCTGTTGGTTCTGGTAAATATATATGCTCCATATGTCTGCATATCGCTTCACAGATTTCGGTTACGATTGCACTCACTGTTGTAAAGCCGACTCGAAAGCTATGCCCAATGGTATAGAAGGTGTCACCAGTGGCAAGGAATCTATAAAAAAATCGTTTTTAGGTGATGAAGTAAAAAAAAGGTGGAAGAATATCAGAGACACATTTGCAAAATATATAAAATCCAGCAAACCAAAGACCGGCCAAGCAGTGGGCAACATAAAGAAATGGCAGTGGGCTGACTACATGGAATTTTTCCGTCCTTTTTTGGCATTTGCCAAAACGTCGTCTAATGTGAAAGATATTGACGTCATATATTATGAGACTGCCGAATTTAACTCAAATATATATCAGGAAAGGGCTGGAGATGTAGAAACCGAAAATTTGGAAAACCGCGGCCATGGAGAAGATGAAAATGCTGATGTAGATGCAGAAGATGCACAGAACGCCTCGACAACACAGACAGCACCACCTTCTTCATTGAACACTACAGCAGTGACTACTCCAGGGCACACCTTTCCGCAGACTGCAACTACACCAAAATATAAAACGAGCAGAAAACGCTATGAACCACCATCTTCGTCTGTACAACAGCTCATTGATTATTTTGAAGGTAAAAAACCTAAAAAGAGAACGAGGCCATTGATTCACTTTTCTTGGCACATGCACAGACTGTGAAAACACTTCCCTTAAAGCGTCAAGCCCGAATAAAACTAAAAATAACCGAATTAATAGCGCACGAAAAATTTGAACATATTGAAGAAATGTCTTCAGCGTCTGCCCAGAATTCTGCAAGTATGTATGATAGTAGTATGTCGTCCTTCCCAAGCGGCACTGGGTTTACTCCAATAATATACCCAACAGAGGAGGCAAATTCTGCCTCGAATTATTTAGCAACATTTAATCCTAGTGGCAACATGTAGTCCAATTATTACAATAAAATATTTATTTCACGATCCCTGAAGTTTTCGTATTCGATAAGCCTACTAATTTTAATACATATAATTTTTTTACCTGAGTGTAATAGCAAGTCGTTCTTCTGGCGAAATAGCTTCACGATAATTTGTGTCAGACTTTCGTATTTCATCTTTCACCAAGTTCAATATTTCATCGAAACACTCTGGAGTCATTCTAAAATATACGTAAAAGCGCTGTTCATCCAGCCGAAGTTGTGGCATCAAGGTATGGTATTCCCCAAATTTATTTCGTTCCAAGTTAATATCATGTACCCACTTCCTTCGTTTCCTAAACAAAATTGAAAATATTTGTTTTATGTACTTCGTTAAACTTAATACATACCCAACTATCAAATGGCGTTAAATAAACATAACTTACCGTGCATTTTGTTCCTCTTCTAAAGCAAGAAACAGAAGTGCCTCCTCTTCTTCTGAAGACGAGCTCATTGCAAAAGGCAAAAATAAAATGTACGCAACCTGTCGAGACCTTCACGTTCGCGGAGCGAATAAGACGCCTCGGTATGAATAAACAGGCGAAACAGATTGCGAATTTCGCTCTGAATTTCGTTGCGAATACTTCGCCGCGATTATTTCGCGCCGGTTTGTGGGATGCTTAAAGCATATACGTGGTTTGATTCGTCCGCAGAAACATGGGGGATTATCAGTATCAAAACCCACCGGACAAACTTCATATGCTACATTTATCAAGTAATGTTATCCTGCAAAAAGTTCCCAGAAATTGTGGTACATTTTGCAACCCCATCGTTTGCATCCGGATGTCATACTGAGGCCGGCATTCGCGCTATGATGGGACAATAAATAAACTTTGATTAAAATTCCAGATTTCTGTTGCTGATCTAGGATTTATGTTACCACTAGTAGCTGCAATGGCTCAGATGCTGTATATCAACTGCTTGTATGGAAGTGAGATAATATACAGGGTACAGTAACCAACAGTTATTGATAAATTTTTCATTCACATTAAGACTATCAATATCACTATTACATCCATCAATCGATTCTTGTGCAATCTGCCTCAGTGCGCGGCCGTATGATTGTACAAGCTCACAGAGTTAAGTTTTGGGGTTTATGTCCTTTGAGACATTTGTCCAGGATGCTGAGATACATGAGATTTCAAAACTACAGTCATATAAAAATAATAATAATAATAATAATATTTATTCGCCAAAATACAAAAAATGTTCAAATAAATATGAAAAAACCACAGAAGGCATCGCTTGTGTGTGGTTTATATCTTAATAACTAACAATCAATCATATATGTGTATAACAATTATTGTTAAATCTAAAAGGTATGTAATTGGAATTTTGTAGTTTTAGTTTTCTATATAATTATGTATAGTCATTCGCTGCACATTACTAACCCAGTCTTTCAATTTTCTTCTAAATTTGTTTCCAAAATTAAGTATCTTTATTTCGTTTGGTACTACATTATATAATTTAGCTGCTAAGAATTTAAATGATTTTTTGAATAATGTTTTGTGTGGTCTTTGGATATTAGATGAGCCTATTCGAAATCGTGTGTTATGCTCGTGTTTATAGGATTTTTTCTTTTTATTACAATACTTATGGTATATGGTGGTGGCATGTAAGAAATAAAGTTGTCTTGTATCAAGTATCCCTATTTCTTGATATAAGTTGTTCGTTGGATATAATCTTGGCTTATGGAAAATGGCTTTCAAAACAGTTTTTTGTGCTATATTCAGGTCAGAAATATATGTCTTGCAGGCGGCACCCCAGGCTGTGATGCCGTATATTATGTGGGTTTCAACTAAGGCATGGTATAGGATTCGCAGAAAACTTTCTGTAAGAATGTTAGCAAGCATTTTGAGTTTATAGGCAACATTTCTAATTTTTTTGGTAACATATTTAATATGGTTATCCCACCTTAGATGTGAGTCTATAAATATTCCAAGATATTTCAAAGTGTTAACTCTAT